CAATAAGTCATTACTCAAGTGTCTTAACCCTCTGTGCCATTGGGCTAAATTCAACAATATTCAAGTAGGAAAACAAAACATTACTTGTATTTGTGTAAAATACTAAGTGCCATTTTAAAATAAGATGGTTCACTCCATCAAGCCCAGCCAAAAATTCTAAGCTTAGAATCTGATGTCAGTAATATCAAAATAAATAATAAATTTTCTCAAAATATAGTCTTTTTTCATAAAAAAGTAATGTTTTGAATTGCCTGCAAGAATTCAGTGGTCCTGAAAGTTTCAAAAAGCAATGATTTCAAACAGCTAAAAATTATTTTTCCTGAAATATCTGTGCCCATAAAGATTCACTTCAAACTTGCAAAGCCCTAAAGGATACAGTATCTACTGCATATTCTAATTTCTAAGTTAACTAATTCTCTATATCAAATGCCTGTGTACATTATATTAACATGCATGTGATCTACCAATCATGGGTAAAGAATGACTTCAGCTTTACTATGTGCACAATAAAAGGCATGATGCAAATTCGAAATCATAAAAATTTCATGGTTTATCTCCCATCTTATTCCACTGCCATTCGGATGCTTCTTCATGTTTGTTTTTCTTTTTACAAATCACAATATGACATGCTTCACAATTCATGCAGCTATAGTTAAATAAAGACACAGCAAAATACTACAGCAAATAGTATTACCTTTGGAATTGCCTGTTTAAAAGGCACAGGTAAAGTTGACTCCTATTCTTTAAAAGTTTGTTAAAAAAAAAACATAAGTAGATATTCAGCAAAATCTTCATGGTAGTCAGTAGAGCCTACAATTATGACAAAAATATACCAAGTGTTCTCTTTCCACTGAATACCCAGTAGCTTTATCACTAATTATTTCTATCAAACCATGAAAGCAGTGGAAGGCAGATAAGGTTACCTGAAGAGTTAATCATCTTGCACTAAACTGTAATATCTGTCTTTTTTAACTTTAATCACCTGTTATTGAAAGCCCTACCACCTGAAGATGTATAGGTTGTATCATTCCAATTTGAAGTGATTCAGTCCTTTACGTAACCTGTAAGAGCTGGAAACACAATTATCTGTGCCCAATATCTAGGAGTGTTAAGACTAAGATTCTCCTTATGTGGACAAGATTGGATTTAGGAAGCCAAAATTACCTACATAATTCTATAATTACTAAATCCTTGGCAGTATGTCATCCACTAAACTTACGTCTGTTATATGTAGGCTATCAACATCATTACAATTTTTAATCAAAACCTCACACTAATCACCACTGTAAGGACTGCCAGGGGGAAATATATATATCAAAGTGCCCCAACCCTACCTCTAAATACTTTGAGCATTGCCCTCCTGTCATAGTAACTTAAGAATCAAAGGTAATGCACTGATTAGTTTCTGCAATTCTATTTGCCTGTATCTGGAAATGTTTCTGTTTCCTGTGAGAAGCTTTAGAAACACAGGTCCTCGGCAGGTCCAAAATATGCAAGCATGTACAGGCTCAATTATCTACCTACCCTGGTGATCCTGCATCATATTCAAAGCTGATATCTCTGTCCAAGATGCTTGGTTTTCACTAACTGTCCTTGTGCAGCTTTGTCACTGAAAAGACAGCCAGACACTTAGCAGCCCATTCACCGATAAACATAGCTTTGATCCATGCCTTACATTGAGAAAGACTGTATCTCAATAGTATGAGAATTCAGGGCTCTTTAGAGTCAACAAACTATTCTCTAAAAAGCAAGTGAAAGGTCCAATTACCTCTAATTACAGGTGTAATGATAAGTCTCTTAAAGACTCATTTTCTTAAAGACTCATTTTTTTCCTCTTCTCTTGCAATACAAAGCAGCAATAAACATTTACAAGTACTTTTAATATACTATCTACTGCTACTCCAACTTGGCAGCATATAAAATGTTAATATTTCTTTTTTTCAATACTAAATACATGTAGTTAATCAAATACACTTTTTTCTAAAAGGATTATCAAGATGGCAGGAGGAAAACAAATATGAACATCACACCAAGTTAGTGCACAAGTTGCAATCCTCTGAGCATCATCTCTCAAGCAAATTAGTGAAGTGACTTTAATTGCCAATACTACTTGCACATCAAGAAACTACCAATCGCAAAAACAATTACTGTCAAACAGACTAATTCACACCTCATTCCCAGCCACTAATCATGCAATGATTTTTCCTCTCTCTCCTTTCTAACAGGCCAATTTACACCTCACTGCCGTCCACTAATCATGGTATACCCTCCTCCTCCTCTAGGAACAGGCCAATCTCACCTGGTACGGAACCTCAGCCATTCTCAGGTAAGTCTCCAGCTTCAGGACAAAAGGAGTCGTGTGTTCAACTTGTAAGAAGGAGAAGTCAATACCACCTCGAGTAGGAACATGTGCAGACCACATCTTCTGACCGAACTCATTCAACTTCCTCCTGACGTAAATAGTTTGAATATGTTCTTTGTCATGAGTCACTACAGACATACAGTATGCACCATACATATGTCGTGGTGTAGCACACATACCACCTTCTCAAGTGTAGTGTGCCAACGCGGGGAATCTTGCTACATACATACATACATGTGTCGTGTGTGTGTGTGTGTCGTGTGAGTGTGTGTGTGTTGTGTGTGATGTGTGACACGAACACACACAACTGTGTGTGGGCACAACTATGTCAAAGCGTAGTCGTGTGTGTTGTAGTTTGTGCTGTGGTGTGTGTGTGGACTGTACGTCGTCTAGTGCCCATATGTGGTGTAGTTCAACCATGTGCGTCAGTGCAAGTCAGGTCGCACCAGTGTGCAGGTCGCCGTCACAGTGTGCGTGTCAGTCGCAGATCGCTGACCAGTCAGTGCGATGTCCGCAAGCTCTATCGTGTTGCGTCCGGCACCCGTGCGTGTGCTATTGTGCTTGTGCTTGTGCTAGCCTGCTTGTGCGTGTGCGTGATGCCTTTTGTGCTTTGTGCAGTGTGACGTTGCTCCGAATACCCATAGAACGATGTCTAATATGTATATATCACAGATTATATATAATATATTATATAATATATTTATTAATTATATATTATATATTATATATATAGTATACATATATATATACATATATATAATAGGATATATATATACTATATATTATTATATTTACCTTATATATATATATAATGTGTATTATATATATGGTATATGTATGTAACGTCATGATTGTATATGATTATATATGTATATGTATGGACAATATTAGTAATACTGTATTGTACATATATGTCTACCCATAATGCTATATATATGTAAGTATTATATATAGTATATATATATATATATTATATTAATATAATAGTACTATATACTATTATATATAATATATATATATATATATATATATACATGTATGGTACATGTATGTACCTATTATATTCTTACTATATGTATGTACGTGTAATCTATAGTATCTATATCAAGTATCTATCTCACTATACATCTATATCTATAGTCTGGAGTCTTATAGTATCTATTCTTTATGATATAAGGTAAGGGGTATATACATTTATAGAGTATATAAGTGAGATAGATATATGAGATATGTTTAATACTATATATATATAGACCCTATATATATAGGTTAGTATATATATAAATATTTTAGAATATATATAGATAAATATATAGAATATATATATATAGACATATATATGTGATGACCTATATATATGTAGATATAATGTATATGCATCGTATCTACTACTATCTAGCTTCGTATATATGGCACCATTCCAAGGTACATACACACAGTCACTAACAATATACAACACAACACACACACAACAATAGTGGTATATATATAGATGATATATATATAGAATATAAGTAGTATATATAAAGTATATAATAGTGTTATATGCTATACAGTAAAATGTTGCCATATTTCACACAATTATGTGAGTGGATGATAAGCAAAGAAGGAAATTCTATTCAGTATTTAATTGACATTTTTTCAAACCGTGATGATGTCGGCATATAATGACATAGAAAGACTTTCAGTTCATCTTATTAAGAATTATATACTAGGTATATATTATATTAATATATAATTATGTAACCAATACATATTATATAGTATAATAGAATATATAATCATTTATAATATAAATAAAATAGATATAAAATCATAATATATATAGTATTTAGAAACAATAATGAAATAAGGGATGATATATAGCGGATATCTATAGTAGAGTATATAACAGAACTATATGATATATAGTATCATATAAATATAATATATTATATATTATATCATATATGTATTATAATATAATAATATATATACATATATATAAATCATAAAATATAGTATTATATGTTATAATACTGTGTATATAAATAAAATAATATATAGTTTATATTATTATATAAACATTAGTTATATATACATTTATATATATTAACATTATATAGTATACATATATTATTAATACAATTATACTATACCATATATATTGTAGCTTAATACAGTATATATAATATATATATAATCTATATATTATCATTATATATATATAGTATATCTATATATATATTATACACACAACACACACAAACTACCACACACCAACATATTATATTATATCGTAATACATATATTACATATATACTATAACATATATATAATATAGTATAATACATAATATATACATACATATATTATATACATAATAATATACAATATATTATACAATATAAAATTATATATATATATATTAATAATACATAGTATATATACATATATTATATATATACTTATATATATAATATATATATATTATATATTAATATATACATACATACATAGATACAGGCCTATACGTAACTATAATTATATGCAATGTACTAGTTATATATGATATAGATATATAGTATATATAGTATAGTATATAATATATATAAAAATATATAGATAGATCATATATATAGTTAATATTAATATTACATGACCGATAATAATATAGCACTATATATATATTACATATATATGAGCATATTATATATATATAATATATATATATATATATAATTATATATATAATATATATATATCATATTATATATTATTCCAAGTGATCAGTCGTTAAGTATAGACATAGTTCAGTACTATAATAACAAGTATCAGCTATTACTCATAACATACAGTATATTATTATAATTAGTTATGTATAGATGAGTGTTTATAATGGTATATAATTTTATAAATTATATATAATATATACTATAGCATCTTATAATATATATAATAGATATGATAAGTCACCTACTACGTACAGTAGCTAGCATAGTACTATCAAGTATACGTATATATAATATAATATAATTAATAATTTTTTTATCTATACAGCATACAAATAGATTATACGTATATATTATATATGTATATTTAATATACCATCATGTATATACATAATAATACTATATATATATAACTATATAATATACACATACATACTATCATATATAAATATATAAAGTATATATTATATATATAGTATATTAGTATATATATATATATTTATAAATATCCTATATAGGCCTATTTCAAAGTCATTATTAGTAGAGGTCATGTTGGCTAATACCACATTGCCTGATTGGAAGCCCTTCCTTAGATGAACATGGTTATTGCCCACTACTACCACTTGGAATCCAATGGCTTTGTCATTTTCTCAACTGGACACCTGCATTGACCCTCCTCAAGGAAAAACAGGTTGTTTCGTGGTTGAGTATTACATAGTATATACATTATATTCATTGCACAACATGGAACAATAGAGGGAAGACCAAGAAAACACCACCGAAAAGCCTTCGGCAATATGCATGTGTTATTTCTTTCCTTCCCCTTTTCTTCCTGTTAATGCATATCGGTTCATCCTCATGAATTCCACACCATTTATATCTATCTACCATAAAAGCTATATATATATTACTATATATATATTACTATATATATCATATTACTATATATTATATATATAGTGATATAATATACTTACTTTATTATACCTACTCGCGCCGGCTATATATACGGTATATACTACTATAACCCTCCGCTACTACATTTATAATAATATATAATATATATACTATCTGATACCCTACTCCATATATATGTATACCTAGGTATATATAACTACCTCCCTTACCCGTAACCCATATATATACTATTATGACTCACTAAGTTTAACTCATCACTCACTCTAAGTATCCGACCCGATATTACTCACCAACTATACTTACCCTTACCGTATATGCTACCTATAATATATACAATATATCACCTCTCTCATAATGCATATTCTACACCAATAAATGTTATATACCTGAGCCCAAAATATCTACTATAAAGTTCCTACCCGACGTCCTATCTCTAAAATTAGACTATAAATATAACTCAAATACACCCTAGTCTATTCTAACTTCATCATCTACAATACGCCATACCACATCAGCCCCTACTATCCACATATATATTATAACCTTCACTATACCCTATATAATATATATATATTCAACGATTATAACTATATTAACTCCTATAGTATTATATATAATATATATATAATTATATATATAGTATTAGTTCCAGGCCTTTACAACCCCAAACTGGAGGGGGGCCCGATCTCGGGAGCAGCAGCAAGACGAAAGGGCCCCCAGCACCCGTGTCCCAGGTCATGAGACGAGAACGCCCCTCACTGCCCACCGGCAATTCCCGTCTCTACCTGAGACATGTACGATCGTGAACAGCGGCTCCTGGCCGCTGCTGGCTCTCTACCGGTGTACCCAACTCCCTCGCCCCCTCGAAATAGCCCCTTCGTTGGCGTGAGTAACTCGCGTAGGCTCGGGTGAGGAGGTGTGTGTAGGCCTGGGTGCCATCCTCCTCCCCCCCAGATAGAAAGCCATTAATACCACTATCGCCATGTGCTGTTTATAGCGAACGGGACGATCAGCGGTGCTTGGCGCCTCGCCGCCGTCCTGCCCTCCCCGAGGGAGGGAGGGATGATGACTACAGTACCCCGCTTCCCACCCAGCATAGTTGTGAAGGCCTCGCTGGTACCCTGTGCGGGCCTGTCTTGGCCGGATAGGATTGGACGAACTCTCTCGTCTGCCTTGTGACGCGTACAGGCCTGGTTGGTGAACACCCCTGGCAACTGTAGGCTTCGTCTCTGCTCTTGCGGCTGCGCCATCTGTCCGTTTGAGGCCGCCAAGCCCACAGAGTGAAGCTTTGGAGCGGGAAAGCCCTGGGAACCCAGCCCATAGTAGGGATGGATGATGGAGGCACGCAGTCCCGCCAACTCCTCTTTTATATGGGAACGGAGGCGAATCCGGTGGGTTGGCAAGAGGGTTGTGCAAAATCCATCCCTGGACGCTACTGCCAGAGGTGCGCTTACACCTTACGGCGGATTCGGTCAGGTGTGGGGGCTTGGAACATGCTCGTTTCTTTTA